AATGAATATTAAAACTGAAACTTTTTTTTAGACAACATTACAATTGATTTAATCATTTTTATTGGTACTATAGATGATTCCAAATTCAAATATTTCGTTTCCAAAACGCTTTCAAAATCACCGTGTATATGCGCGTTTACGACGCTTCAAAATTTTGAACGTGTGTCAGTAAAGTGCCTGTGAATTTCGTTTAAAGCGTGTTAACGCACTTCATCTGCGCATCGTCAGCACTTTAAAAATACGCCGTGTGTAAAAGCCCTTAGTTCGATACTTATTCAAATGCCACGTCGCGTGGCGTCGTGCGTTATATTTAGACTATCGACTACCTAGTCTAAGTAGATATTTTACTGGTAGTTTAAGATTCGGATTAATTTGTCTATAAACGAACCTTTTGGTCGTCAGAAGAGATATAAGTTACACAAAAGATAATTAGGACAACTTCTAGCGCAAAAGTACTGTGGTAAATTCGTGCTGTATTAGCTGCATTGCACTTTATTATGCAAGAGTCGATATTTATACAAATGATTTTGGTGAGCGACTCTTTTGCACTATTATAGTATTGTGTAGTAAAAGCTGATAACAATAGAAAATATTGTGTTGATGCTTTACAATCAAAAGTGTTTAAGGTTATCTAAGCACAACGGGGCAAGTGCGGTCAAATGTCAAAGAAACACTAAACACCAAGTAATTGTTCGATTGTGATAAGCTATCTAATAATAATATTATGGTGATAAGTAATGAGAATAAGGTTTATCTCACGTACGTATTAAAAAAATGGTCATGTACCCCTCTGGATCAGGAAAGACAAGATCTTCCCACTTGACTATGGAATCGCCTATTGTTCAACCAGCAGCCAAGGCAAGTAGGGGTTTTTCGTCGAGGAAAACTTAAGGCTCTGGCTAATATGACTTCATGATGTACCATCATTTTGGTTTCAGTTGATTCGAAATGTTTTTTTTTTAAATTATTTTATCTGATATATTTATATCGAGGGGGGCATGAACTTCACTTAAAAACTATTCAAACAACGTTTTATCGTACTATACTTGCATACATATACAGCTATAACTTGTTCTATATATTTAGAGATCAAAAATTGTTACGTACAGCTAGAGCAGCGTAGAGCTATGCGAATAACAAACTATTATATCGATTAAAGCTGCTGTGTGTTAGCAAACTGTGTGTTACCGCCTGTGTGTTAGCAAACACACAGGCGGTAGATAGGTTACATCCATAGTGTTAACAGCCACTTCGTGTGGCTTAATTTTAGCTACTTCCCTAGAGACTCGACGTGTTTGCAGTTTTAATAAGGATAATTATAACATTTTAACAACACAGCCACAACAATCTTAAGTAAGGGGCCCATCGACCTAAGTGGAACAATAATAACTAGAGAGCTACAACAGATAAACTACTACCACTTGTAATATAAAATCTCTCAGCTTAAAAGCTGTCTTAAAATTCATGCTTTATGGTTGTAATTGATACAACGACGCTGCGCTCAATAATATAATTTTCTAAATGTCCTGCCCTGTCGTAAAGCTTAAGTATAAATTAAAGAAAATAGCCATGACTTAAGGAAAGTGTTTTCACTTTAACGTTGTATTCAATTTAACTGAAAGCTACGATATAGATACTATAATTGATCGTGCTCTTTTATCGAAAACAAATATTTAACAGCATTTTTACAGTTAAACTTGACTTACGACGACGACGACGTCCACAGCACGTAAAATAACAACTAATAACGCAAATAATCTAAATAATAATTGTTAAAAAAATACGTGTAATCCTGCCTCACATCAAGAGTTATCTATTTATATATTAAAAATAAGTGGCGAGCTTTTAGATACAAAACGACGTATTTAACGTAAATGGCAGACAATAATGATATAACATAATCATCAAGCTAAGCTTTGAAATAACAATAAAGCAAAAAGCTTATAACAAAAAAATATTGCTACAAAAACACGTAGCATGACGTATATAATACAATAAATATAATCATAACATTGCACTACAAGCGATTACAAAAATATTGCAAGCAAACAATAATTTAAATACAAAATCATAGGCAAGCAAAAGCTAGCACGATACTATATTTTATTGCAACCATATAATAAAACAATAAAAAAGGAATGGGCGGTGGCACTTAACATATTTAAACAAAAACATTTACCGTTTGTCTCAATATAAGTAAAAAAACGGGAACATCGTTTGGAAAAAAATAATTAAATGACCGATACAAGGCTTTAACCAATGTGCGTATAACCAGATAGCACGGCGAAAGTTTAAATAAATAGATTTATGGATATATTTATTATGGTACAAAGTTACTATAATAATCATTCAATTTACTGATTACTTGCCTTTGCAAGTAATCAGTGAAATGTCTTGTTAATGAATATTTATGTTAAGACTTTAAACACTACCAAGAGTTTGCAAAACTAGTACAGAAAAAGTGATTTTGTCACTTCATTTCTTTGAATTTAATTGACTCTGATGATTTAATTGAGTCCATGACTTTTTTTATGATATGGGAGGCAAATAGATCTCATCAAGATCAAGGTAAATGGCTACCCTTTACTTTGGCGAGTACTTTTTTAAGTTTTGAAGGTAGATATATCGATCGGAATATACCGTAGGTGAAAATTTATTTCACAGAATTTATCATATTGTTGGTTGAAAAAATTGATTCAATACGAACTAACGATTATTCTGCAGTGCAGCGTGCAAGCGGAGAAAAAAGCTTACATAGACAAGTATACTCTTGTAACAAAATAGACAAACGATTCGAGAGCCTCTGACACTGCTGGGCTTTAGCTGTAGAACCTTGTTCTAAAGTTCTTCAGCTACTTGTATAGAAGGATGCTTTTATAACCAAGAAGATTATAATTTTCAAACTCGTGATATCGTATTTTTCTGGTAGGGCAATTGTCTTTCTTTGCAATCACTTTAAACTTTTTTTAAACTTTAACTTGACAAAGTAGTCCTACTGTCTAAATTGATTTAATTCGAAAGAGCTTAATTGCACTAGGTTTATTTAAAATCATTAAATAACTCCTTTTTTAAACTAAATATGTCCTTTACAATCAGACCGATATAGATCTAAAACTGTTGTTTTCCTAACGATTGATTGCACTTAATATAAAATTACATAAAATACAGCCTTTTAATAGTCAGATCTAAGCTTTACAGCAAAATAAAAATACCTATGACGCGATACTTTATACTGAAGCAGTTCATACTTATAGCAATTGCATAGTAAATAGATAACACAACACACTGTTGCTATATTTTTGGCACATTTACTTTTTTTTTTAAACTAGCAACAAAAAAAATACTGTACAAACTAGCAAACAAACAAAAAACGCAGCAGTCATAGCAAACATTGAAATAAATAAAACGAGGAACTTACATCTAGCCTTAATTAAAATTTCTTAAAAATATCCCCAAACATGGTCAAGACTTAACGGATTGAGTAACTTATATGTTTAATTCCTGCAAGCTATGCAAACATTTCTTACAAAAACGATGAAAAACAGTTCTAAATGCTTTTGCAAGAAGTGTTTTGACTAAGCCAAAAAATTCACAACACTCCTGTATTTTAAACTTACTTTTGATACTAATTGTATTTTTACCACTTTTCCATGATATCTACCTACATGCTCATCTTAAATAAAATGTTTGAATAACCTGAATTACAGTTAAAACAGTCAGTGAAATAAGGTATAGAAATATCATCAAAAATAGACTTTTTCTTTTATCTGACATTAAAATCGAAACAAATCTCCACAATCTTAAATATATCACAACGCTGTTTGTAGTACAGAAGGAGAAAAGGAATTAAAGCTCAATAAGAAACAGTTTTTTCCCCCTCTTAAAAATACCCTGATAAAACAAGGTAACCTCACCTATGACGTTCATGGGCGCCGATGGTCACTTTCCATCAGATGACACGTCTGCTCGTCTGCCCCCTTGCAACATAAAAAAAAACTAAAAAATATATTCTATTATAAATTAGAATCTATAATAAACGGGTGCAACGATTTACACAACACCAAATGCTACATTATATAATACTGAAACATGTTATACTAAACCAAATAATACACAACCATTTGCTATCACTGCAGTACTAAGGTGAGGGTGTGTTACCTCCCACCATCTCCTGATACTTGATAACGCATGCTATTATCTATGTAAGATGTAAGCATGTATTATACAAAAAGTGACTTACTTGAGAGAATAAAGCTAACCCTAATTCAATTAATTGCGAATAACTACTGGCTGTAACGACATGCATATAATAATAAGAATAAAATGATAAGTAGTCGCCACCTAGTGGCCAAATATGGCAACGTTTTTGTAACCGGAACAAAACCACTCTAAGAGGTAGATTATATTATATAGATTTGAACCACTTCATTAACCTTTTATAAACTCTCGATCAATTATTAAAGTAAGAGCTTACCCTTACTTTGATAGATTAGAGGATTAGAATTTAATAAATTTTAATAATTTCTCATTTTATCGTACAAAGGTGGTACTTCAATATGTTTTGACGACACGATAATAAAATTATAAATACCAATTTAACACTAGCATATAATATAGTACATATTTACTATTTGTGCCTAATAATTTTATTACTTATTGTGTATATGGATTAGTTGAGGGTTCCAAATATAATTGTCGTACTGGATATAGTTACTTTGAAATGCGTCTAGCGTTAGCTTTATATGCAGATGTGATCGTTAGCAGAGCAAGAGAGCGTATTTTAAATTATTATGTCCTTAGGCCCCGTTACGATTTACATAAGTTATTACGTAAATGTTATTTATTACCGTTTTATTTTTACTGGACTTAAAGCTAAGATGATGGTAATAACGCAACTATCACTATATACTAATTGTGAGGAGTTTAAAGTTTAACTTGATAACAGATTAACATTTATTGAGATCAATAGCGGACTCTTTGGAATGAAATTTGGAATAATATTAGTTTTTACCTTTCTGGGCATTTTCAGCTTTAGAAGCTAACAAAGCTGACAATGTAGCATGTGTAGCACTTAGTGTACTCGATGTGGGACTTGCGATATTTGGTGATGAAAGTACAATATTATTATTATTCATCATGCCACCACTTGTACCAGAACTTACTATAGTCACGTTGGGGGGTGGAGCAACTCCATTAGCAAACCCAGTTGATAATACTTTCTGTGTATTATGCATCATAAATGATTTTGTGGCTCCAGCACTACCCAAAGTGAGGACTTTCTTTAACATAACTGAAGAGTTACATGCATTGTCTATCATATCCTTGGTAGTTGAAATACTGTCAAAATCGCTAGAACTAGCTGTGACGACTGTACTTATCTTTGGTGTAGATGTATGCAGAACTGGTCTGACAGCAGTCACATTGAATGATACAGAAGATGTAGGTGCCGCTAGATTGTTTCTATTCATAATATTTCGTGACACTATAGCGTTGTGTAGAATATTCCCCGTCGGGAATGATTTCGATGACACGTTGACATATTGTGGTGTTCCAATTATAGTCGCATTGGATGTTCGTGTTCCAAATCCGATTATTGTACTAGCAGTACCCTGAGACATGACGGTACTGAATGTACCAGTTTTAGTACTGATTGGTATCCTGCAAATAAAATATTCTATAACATATATTCAAAACAAAACTATTTCGGATTAGTATGACAGCACACACAAGACGGTAATTACATTTCACATACTGAGGGTATTTACTGGCGATTAGTAGCAGTACATACTAGACTACTAGAGAAAGGAATAGCCAACCTCGAAGCCAGATAGTCGGATTTCTGTTAGCCAAATAGCTGTTGATTTTCAAATGTTAAAGACAAAAAGAGAACTCTACGTTCAATACTCTCGAAGGTCTCATTTGAAGCTGAATTAGAAAGTTGTTTAAACTTTTAACAATACCTAATAGGTATTTGATTTAAAACTGAACTCTTTAAGTAAGTTTAACTACAAGATTTAACACAAACGGCTTGCTTATTATATGCTCGAAAAACTTAGGCCAGATACTGGATAGATATTGTATATCGATTTCATCTCTAGTAGATATATATATGTACACAGTCTTTGAACTGCCAATCACTTTGACACTTACACACAACAAATAAACCACAGACATTAAAATAGCAGTTAATTGTTAAGGATTATCAACTTTCAAAAGATATGTGGGACCTCTCCCATGAATGCACGTTTGACAAAACAAAATACTCACCCACGAATCATCTGCGACGTTGAACCTGGTATACTCTGTATAGTGACAGTGGCCTGTGGCAAGTGATGGACCGTCCGCTGTCCACTTGGTGGTACATTTGAACTGGTGTAATAATGTACAGTACTGCCAGTAATCCGAGGTGGATTCGCAATGTGAGCTACTGGTACACTGTGTACCATGCCGCTGGTTGTCGACGCCACCGTTATACACTTCGTTTGATTTACTGAGAACTGTAGAAAAAGTAATCAAAAATTTACAATATAAATAGGTGATAAATAGACACACAGCAGAATAATTATTAGAGAATAATTTTACATTATTGGTGTTTAACGTCGTCCCCAAATCAAACTCATCGCCAACCAAAGTAATGGTGTCTGGATTAGCTCCTGTCAGTTTCTCAATAGTTTTTCTGGCATCAGCATCACTTTCAATGTTCCCTAAGTTTCTGCTTAAAAATTCGATATCTGATTCTAACAAACCATCCACCAAATGGCTCTGGTCATCTTCACCATCCTTGCAAATTCCAAAATCATTGTCTTCCAATTTTATGCCTTCTACTTTTATATCGCCAAAATTATCCTTCATGGTGACCAAGTCAGCATCTTCAACTTTAATACTTTCCACTTTTATTTCATCTAAATCTTCTACTTTTATGTTTTCGACTTTGATGTCGTCCATGTCTTCAACTTTTATGTCAGCAAAGTCGGTATCCTCTTTCAGTGTTGGAACGTCAGAAAAACCCCTACTATTTTCGCCGTTGCCAATGTATTGACTCGCATCGAAACTATTACTATCGAAGTTATCATGATTTGGTTCAACTTTAATATCCTCTATCTTATATTTATCCTCTTCAGGAACATTATTTATTGTGGGTTGAGGACTATCAACATTGTTCAAATCGCCACTTAGTGCTCTTTTCAATACATAAGATTTTATTTTCCGTAGCATAAACATGGGAACTTTGAACCCAGTTAGTTCACCAAGCATTGGTAGCGAACTGTGTCTGTATGCCTCACTATTGGCAAGTTCTTCAATGTCTTCTAATACCTGATGGTTTTAAAAAGATTAGTTAATGATATTTATACTTAAGTATCACAAGTAAAAAGAATACTCACCATAATATATGTCTTCCCTCCGACTGCATTGACTAAATTGTGACTAGCAATCCATTCTTTGTCAGCTGTGTCAGCTGGATACCTAGGCAAACCAGCGTGACGTGTGTATAAACGGCCACGTGAGTTTCCTAAACCTAATACCTGCAACAAAAGTTACTTGTTACATTAGTCGACAGTTAAAATATAAATTTTCTAAAAAAAAATGGATGGTTAAAAGTAATATGATTTTTTTATGTCTCTATCAATAACATTGTGTAATATTTAAATATTACACAATGTTATTCTTACGCATTATCTCTACTGTGATTTCGTTATAAATAATAATGATGTTGATAATCTTACACGATCACAATTCAAGACCCGAACATTTGAACTTCATATTATTACTACTAAGTATGTGCAACTTTTTATTTATTTTATGTTAGACTTCTATTTTAATGGGTAGTTCTATTTTTAAATCACATTAAATACAAAAATGATTATAAAAATACATACTTTATGAGCATGAGATCCCATGATAAACAATGTTTCCTGTGAAAGTCTGGCAGGGTTCCATTTCTCAGGGTCTCTAATTGCTGGTGATGGGAGAGGTGATGAGGATGCACTGTCTGTAGTATCCTCTTGTTTGATTTTTTTACGTTTTATATTCATATCAACATCATTATCTGCATCTTTGCGCTTCTGTGATGGACTCTGCAACTGTAAAATATTTAGATAAAAATCGGTCCAATCTAGATAACTTAAGAGTAATTCAAGGTGCAAACAATATTTTCTCTCCCAATACCTTGTAAGTCCTAAAACCGAAAGAACTCTAGAGACTACACCATAGCAAAACAAGGTAATTTTCACCTTGGTAATCCACTCATACTGTTCAAAATTCAATGTCTTTGTTTGTTTATTTTTCTCATAGATTATTCTCATAGTACTAATACATTCTTTTTTCATAAGTTCTGTTTACCAAATTAGTTTTTATTATAACAGTAACAGATAGTAAAAAAAAGGTCTGAGTTTATTATGTTGGTAAGTTATTTAATGGATGATGTACTTAATATGAAGAAAATAATATTGACCAGAGTCACTCAACTCTCATTTTATTGATAGTATAATCACAATAAATCTAAACAACCCTTATGTCACAAGTTACATAATTGTTATTGTTTTTAAACATTTGACGCTCGGTTAGCTCAAGATAAACCATAATATTATTAACAAGATATAAAATAATACAAACAGCGGTCAAGTGCCCGTCGAATTCGTGCGTCAAAGGTTCCGTACCTACCCAGATGTTACGTAGATTTTAGCGAACTTGTAAGTACCAAAATTTACCGTAATAGTCAACTTTTTTATTTTTTGAAATTTTTCTTTTATTTCTGCTGTAAGACCTTGCTTATTGCCAAATTTCGTGATTCTGAGGTCAACGGAAGCTACCAAATAAGTTTTCGACCGTGAAAATCTAAATTTGCCCATATCTTTTAATCATGTTGACTCAGGACCTTGATTTTTATACACCTATTACTCATTATCTGGTATAAATTTCAACTTGCTAGGTCCACCCGTTCCTGAGAAAATTGGTGGTGACACACGGACAGAGAGACGGACAAAAGAGTGATCTTATAAGGGTTCCTTTTTTACCTTTTGATGTACGGACCCCTAAAAAGAAAACGCGACAACAGGTTCAAGGATGTTTTTTGCTTTTTATCTAGTAGGGTCTCAGACCAGTATATCATCATCATCATCATCATCATCAACATCAGCTTTATGTCCATTGCTGGACATAGGGGCTCTCCTTAGAAAGGCAGGCTATATTTTAATTTATATGAATTAAATAAGTCTTTTTTCTGTTATTATACGATTACATTTGTAGAAAATGCAAAAGTTACCCGTCAAACCCCAACCTGGGACAAATATTGTGTGATGAGCACAATAAGTTGTTCTGTGTCTGACTGCAATATATATATATATATATATATATATATATATATATATATATTCAAACAAATATAAGTATGTATGTTTAGAATTAACTTTTAATTAGCCATTAACTTGTCACATAATAATGTGACAAGTTAATGGCAATGGGATTGCCCCCTATTACAAAAGTGGGACTAAAATTATAGTGCAAGACAAATAGTAAGCAAATTTATATGGAAGACTACTGGCAAAATTACACATTAAATTACAACAGTTTAATTGAAAACATTTCTAATTACTGTGGAAGACACGATTTAAAAAAAAAGATATATTTTATCAATATATTATAATTATTATACTACCTACTCCAAAATAATTATTCTATGTATAAGGTAATTGGGGACCGCAGTCCCGGTCCCAAAAGCCCCACGACCCGTGTGAAGCAATTATTATTATTACCATTATTCATTTTTACGCTTCCCAATGACATTAATAAAATTGTAGAAACTTACTGTGGGTTGCTTAACAAATTTAGAGTCAGCACTATTGTTCGATTCAGAATCACTATTTTCCAATGGTGATGGTGCTGGCTTTGGTGGGGTAGTATATAACAAACGAGTTGCATCTAGCATGGCTCTACATACTGCTCTAACCTGAAAAAATGTATCACAATTACCAAATGTTTTAAAAATACTGAACATGACTTGAACAATAATTTAAAAGATTATTACCTGATCTTCACTGACAGATTCATCACCCAAATTCAATCGTATGTTATTGACAGCAGGTACAAAGAATTTCTGAAAAAAATAAATTTATTCTCTAAATATACATGTTTACTCATTTATTCAGACACTGATTATGTGTATGCATTTAAATGAATGGTATGAACAATACTGTGGTATACAATCATGGTACAATATGATTAGTGCGTACACCAACAACTAACCGAAAAAACAGAGTACACAAACTGAAGACACTAATCAAAGTCCGAAACAAATAGTATAATGTACATCTTTATGTGTGTACATCATAATAAGATCAATCCCACTGTGGTGAGACATGGTAAGGTGCTAAATTAAACTCTGTATTTCTGTGTAATAATTTGGGAATGTTAGTTTTTATCTTCCACTACCGCGGCTTTGCTCACATGATTAATTCTGACTTCCTGTTTCTAACTTTGCAAATGATAAACTTTGATACAACCGGTTTTCCCTTATTTTACCTCCTTAGGGGTAAAATCTCCTAATCTTTTCTTAGCACCACTTTTTATGTAAGCACCTTCTTACAACATAAATAGCATTTAAAATAATTAAATATTTAAAAAACCCCCGACACACATCTTGGATTTAAAATTTGTCATAGTGTACACAAAAGATCAACAATATATCGAAGGTGCCTTTGACAAAACAAATTTTACTCTGTTCCCTTCTGTGGAACATTGTTGTGGATGAATTAATCACACAACTCAACGACCATAGATAGGCTATGCAGACGATCGGACTATCCTCGTCAGTGGTCCTTTTGAGAGTGTTATATGCAATCAATTGAGACTAGCACTGAAAATCGTTGAACAGTGGTGTGTGACACACAACTTGACAGTGAACCTTTCGAAAACAGAGATGATCATGTTCACACAAAAAAAGTAGCTAGGAAATCCCGAACTTCCTTTCCTTCCTAGGTATTTGACCAAAGAAGTCAAATACCTAGGAGTTATACTAGACAGTAAACTCTTGTGGAAGAGAAACTAAACAAAGCCTGCATCGTCTTTTGCCAATGCAAACGGCCACTCAGCAAAAGCTAGGGACTATCACTAAAGATTACACTATGGCTCTAAAAAACAGTCATACGACCAATAATCACATACGGTGCCGTTGTCTGGTAGCAGAGAACAGAGTTAAGCATCGACATCAATAGATTGCACCAATTCCAGCGACTCCCATGCTCCGCGGTCACTGGCTGTATGCGCACAACGCCAACTGACGCACTAGGGGTGGCTCTTGATTCGCCTCCACTGGACTTTTTCATACAGCAGGATCATTAGACTCAGACACCTGGGGCTGTGGCACAAAGGCGAGGGATCGCACTCAAAATTATGGGATCAATTAGTGGAATATGAGCCACAATTAGCAGCCCCATGCGACAGGATCCATAAACACCATATCTTCACAAGGAGATATCACATTCTGACACAAGAAAATAACCGAGATCAATCTGGCATAAACGAAGTCCGAATTTACACGGACGGTTCCGAGACTGGGTCAGGAACTGGAGCCGGAGTTTTCTCACAAGACCTAAACATGAACATATCACTATTATTCCAATGCGAATGTGTGGCAATATCTTACGCCGCCACAACGACTATGTCAAAGGGTATTAAGGACTACAACATCTGTATACTGTCAGACAGCATGGCCGTCCTAAAGGCACTGGAGGGCAAAACAATGACCTTTGGTATAGTCTTCCAGGATACCGCAAACCATGGTCAATTATCCAAGCATACGCACCTACAGAACAAGACAAAAAAGCAGAAACAAAGCCCTTCTATGACTAATTATCACAAACACTAACTAAGTATGCACACAACCACATTATACTGATGGGCGACTTCAATGCTCAAGTCGGAGAAAAACTAAATAAGGATGAATATGTTAATGGGAAATTTGGACAAGGGAAAAGAAGCAAAAATGGTGAACTACTACTGGAACACAACCTTCCACTTCTGAACAGTATGTACAAGAAGAACAAGAAGAAAAAGTGGACCTGGTTATCCCCCGACGGCAGATACAAAAATGAGATTGACTACATAGCAACAAACTATCCGAAAGCCTTTACGAATACGTCGGTACTCTCAAAATTCAACTTTCACACGAACCACCGCATGGTCAGAAGTTCCCTAAAGATAGAACCACCAAAAGCTGATAGGAAGTACATAGCTGGACAAAAAACAGACCAAAATTGTGACATCAATGTAAAGGCAATTGCCAAGTCCCTAAGCGAAAAAAAAGAAGAAATTACAAGGACGGAAGGGAACACCGATGTTCTTATAAAATATGGAAAGCTGGTTAAACAACTGACTTTGGTTAAAACTGGGCACAAAAGGGAAAACAAATACAAACTAACCGGCACTACACTCCAACTTATAGAGAAAAGAAAAAACCTGCCTGCAAATCATCCGAGAAAAGAAAACCTAAAAGTAATTACCGCTTTGAGTAAAGAAATTAGAAAAAACATCAGAAAAAATTTAAAAAATAAGAGGCTACATACAAGCACTAGAAAAACACATACAAAGAACAGGAGGGATAAAGAAGGCACTAAGGGAACTGAGAGAGGTGAGAAGAGAATGGATACCAAAACTTAACAAAAAAAGGCCGTATCTACAAGCAGAAAGGACATAAACGAAACAGCCACAAAGTTCTACCAGGATTTGTACTCCAACCCAGAAAATGAACTATATCGATGGGACGACCAAAGTGGAAGCCACCTCAGCGATGAAATTCTCCTAAAAATACTACCTAGCGAAATAGAAAAAGCTATTTATAGTCAGAAGATGGAGAAAGTTCCAGGGCCAGACAAAATTATGAACGAACTCCTTAAAGGCACTCTTGAAGAACTATTGCCCATACTGACAACAATATTTAACGAAATAATGGACACAGGAAAAATACCTATGCAGTGGAAAACATCCCATATCATCCTTATATTCAAAAAAGGTCAAAAAGAAGATATAGAGAACTATAGACCCATAAGTCTGCTGTCAAACATATATAAGATATTCTCCAAAGTCATCCTGCAAAGAATAAGCAAAACGCTCGATGAAAACAAACCACGAGAACAAGCCGGTTTCAGACGAAACTTTTCGACCCTGGACCATATACACACGGTGAAACAAATAGTAGAGAAATACAAGAATATAATAAACACCTATATATGGCATTCATCGACTACTCTAAAGCTTTCGACAGTGTTTATCACAAAGCAATATGGGAGAGCCTGGAACAACAAGCGGTCCCGCCAAAGTACATTCAAATCATCAAGAACATTTACTCAAACACCGAAGCTAGAATACAACTAGAAACCCTAGGTAAAAAGTACAAGATCATGAGGGGCCTAAGGCAGGGAGACCCTCTGTCGCCGAAACTCTTCTCAGCGGTTTTAGAAAGTATCTTCCGCAAATTGAACTGGGATGGCTTCGGCCTAAACATACACGGTGCTAAACTAAACCACCTAAGATTTGCGGACGATATAATCCTGTTTGTAGAGTATCCGATGCACCTCCAAGAAATGATAAAATCACTTAATGAGGAAAGTGGGCCTTTCCATGAACATGAGTAAAACAAAATTGCTCACAAACTCTAAAGTAACACCTATAGAAATAGACAACCAACCACTAGAATATGTACAGGAATACACGGTGATTTTTTAGGCGTTTTGGAAACGAAACATTTTAATTTGGAATCATCTATAGTACCAATAAAAATGGGTTGGATTTTAAAACGAGTCGCCTGAATTTGAGGGTATTGGTGGTGTAGGGGGCTTAAGGGAGTTAGTCTTAATTCCCCCACAGTAATTTTGGCTGCCGGAGTTGCGTCTAAATATTTTAAAACAATTTTCAAAAATTCTAAAATACTCTTGCAATTATGCAAAACGGAACGTAATTTTTATGCTTTAGTACAGTTTTTCAAATGTAATTTTTAGGTTTTATGTGAAAAAACGTGAAACGAAACGCAACCCGCCATCTTGGATGGATGATATTGACAGCTAATGTCAAATTTGTGCGTCATTCCTTTGCTTTCGAGTATAAGTGAATGTGTTCTTCCGTATCGATTTGTGTTTTTTCTACGACTTGGCTACCTTCTTGGAATCTGTTTGGATTGCTTTACTGTACGACCTCGACTTACTCACTTTTGGACACTGAAATAACGCTATCGCAGCTTGCAATGGCGTCTGGAAGTAGTGGAAGTGGACACCCGGAACCGGTACCGTCTACGAGTTCGGGCCTTGGTGGAGCATCGGCAGTATATGAAGATGTTTTCGAGGACGACGGGCCCTTTCTCGATCGACATCTCTACACAGAAGAGGTTCTTATGATGTGGAATTTGGCGAGAATCATAAAAAAATTGGGCACGAATGAGCAGTGTGTGGCATTCGCCGAAGAAAATGGATTGGTGCAGACTCAAAAATTATGCAGAACACATCGCACTCCCATGAAAATAGCCAAATCGACCAACAGGTCATTTGGTTCTTGGTGTTGCACCAAAGGCAATTGTAAATCTAAATCTAAAATACCACGCAATAACGGGACATTTTTTGAAAATATAAAAATTGATTTGGTGCATGTTTTCTATCTATTATATGCATATTCAAAAAAATGGAGCTACAATGACGTCATAAATGAAGATCCCTACAAGGAACATTTTGAAAGGTGCCTGGGCCGGGCCACCATATGTGACTGGTATAATTATTGCCGAGAAACCATTGTGGCATACCAAATTGACAAAAAAGAAGTAGTTGGAAAGATTGGTGGCCCCGGAAAAATAGTCCAGATCGATGAATCTAAATTTGGAAAAAGAAAATACAATCGAGGTAATTATATTTTATATATTATGTCTTATAGGAAATGTATAAGAGCAGGACATAATTCTTAGATAATTAATAGCAATCTATTACTCCGAGTTTGCACAATCGGACTTCATTGGTTTGGTTAGATGGCTAAGGCGGGAGCGCAGCGCAGCGAAGCTCCCGCCTTAGCCATCGTGGTTATTTTTTTTTAAACCACCCAGAAATAGGAGCCCCGCGTAGCGGGGCTCCGTCGACTCATAATTGAAGCCAGTTTTTATATATATATTTTTTTTTGTTATAGGTCGCCATATTGAGGGCCATTGGGTTCTCGGTATGATTGAGGATGGATCTGAAGATCTGAGGTTGGAAGTGTGCCCAGACAACATTCGCTCTGCTGAGGTTTTGGTGCCACTTATATTGAAGAATGTGGAAGTTGGCACCACCATCGACACTGATTTTTGGAGAGCATATGATTGCTTGCCAGAACATGGCTACATACACAAAAAAGTAAAAAAGTCAACCACTCGGATCGTGACAACCCATTCATAGCTGAAGATGGGACTCATACTCAACGAATTGAGTCCCAGTGGAGAGCTGTTAAAAGATTTTTTAGGAAGGACAATTTTAATAACACAGAAAATTTTGCAGATGTTATTTTTGAATATTTGTGGCGGCGAAATAACGTAAAATACAGGAAAGATCCATTCATGGAATTAATAAAAGCAATAAAACATGTATATAAAGTGGAATAAAAAAAATTGAAAAAAATTCTGTTTTTATTTTTTCTAAGGGAACCAAGTATTTCCGGCGGCTGAAAATGGTGAGGGGGGGATCCGGCCCCTTCCCCCCCCCCCCCTCCCCCAACCACTCACAACCCCTTATAATGGCGACGTATTTCGAAATTTTTACCATAAAAATGATTAAATCAAAAAAGTTGTTGTCTAAAAAAAAGTTTCAGTTTTAATATTCATTTTTACTCGATCGACTTGGAAAGTAGTAATGGACTGATCATTCATTCATTATCTTATATGAATGAAACACGTCCGTGGGCGTTTCGGCGGCCGCTGCGCACCGCTGACGCTAACAGCAGCTGATAAAAGTATACCTATAGGCGCGAGCTAGCGAGTACTTACGTAGATAGACTCCAATTTGTCCTTCATACTTTACACGGGCTTAGGATCGTCGGAAATACCTATTTTATTTAAACTTCTTTTCGATTATTAACCACGATTGTTCTTTTCACAACAAATCAATTTATCAACGGACTGTAGGTATAAATATTTCAAGCGTATTTAAAAAATCGGAGCTATCTACAGAATAATTAACTTACATACCTATTTACACTATTTACACTTCTCTGTATCGAAGCAACTGCTCAAAATGGAGTCCGCTGCATTCAATACACAAACGTCCACGTTTAATGCAATTGTTTTTTAATTTTCTTAATTAATTCTTTTCACTTTATCAAAAGCGTCCACTATCGTAATGCGTAAATTATCACGGCTTTCATATTCCCGTGTATAAACAAGTATTTTTATTTCCGACCATAAGAAAAAATCCAGGGGCGTTAAGTCCGGGTTTCTAGGTGGCCAAGGCACTGGCCCTCCTCGACCTATCCACCGATCACTAAACTCATTGTCCAGGTATGCACGCACTACACTCCGGCGAATAATAATTTAAACGTCATTGACCTTGCGCGTGAGTATAGTATTTCTATTCGTAGTATTTACCTACTTGCGATTGAAAAGCCCTACTACTGGTTCTCACCTTTTCTCTGTAATCGATATGAATATCGACTTTGATGATAAAAAATATATATATATTATTAAATTAACGTTATATATAGCTTCTGTTACTGATAAATAACTCAAAATTTTCCTTTCCAAAACGCTTTCAAAATCACCGTGTATATCTACCTAGGACAAAAAATCTCTCACGAAGAACAAACAACTAAAGAAATAAATAGAAGAATAACAAATGGATGGAAAAAGTACTGGTCGCTGAAAGAAAATTATGAAGTCAAATTAGCTAAACATGTCTCCTAAAAGAAAGGCTTTCAACACCTGCATACTTCCAGTCATTACCTATGGCTGTGAAACATGGGCACTCACCAAACTCCACAGAGCTAAACTGGAACATTGTCAAAGGGCCATGGAGAGAAGCATGACAGGAACAAGGAGGATGGACAAAATAAGAAGTAGTGAAATAATAGAAAAAACTAAAGTTACTGACATTCTCACTCGAATAGACCAAATGAAGTGGAGATGGGCCGGAGACATAATTAGAGACAGGCATGGCAAATGGAGTACGACTATCTGTGACTGGTACCCCAGAGATGGCAAACGTAATAGTGGACGCCAACAAGCGAGATGGGCAGATGACCTGAGGCTAACAGCTGGACACCACTGGAGAAGGGTAGCGCAAGACAGAACCCAATGGAAAGTGCTAGAGGAGGCCTATGCCAAGAGGCACTCTGAATTGCGAGATATTTTATAGACTAATCTTATGAACTGTTTAATATTGTATTTAGATAATTCAGAATAAAGGGCTTATTATTATTATTATTATAGTCTTCGAATGCCATCAAGCATTGAAGCAACTTGCCACAACAGATGTGGTGTTCCTCCAATGGATTAAAGGGCTTAGTAATTCACACGTGAATGACGCTGCAGATGAGTTGGCAAGGAGTGGCTCGGCAACCCCGGCTACGGGCCCAACCACACTCCTGCCACTGCCTTTTTACCAACTTCGATCCTGGGTTAGACAGCATACTTGTGAAAAGCACAACCGAAGGTGGAAAAATTCACCCGGCTGCGGACAGTCCAAACTGGTGCTGACAGAAGTCTTACCACAACTTACTTGCAGACTGATCGGTAGCAAACTACATATCCAAATAGTTGCAGGAACCATAACAGGACGCCTACCCCTGAACGGAAAACTTTTCATCATTAATTCAACAGACAGTCCACTTTGCAGAGAATGCCTGAAAGCAGAAGAAATAACGGCTCACATAAGCCTGGAATGCGAGCCGTCCGTGGCCTCACAGCGGGTGAGTACCTTACCTTGTACAAAATCACTCCTAGAAGCCTGTAAATGCCCCAGTAGGTTTCTGCGCTTCTGGAAGGAGCTTGGTTGGCTCACCTAGCCAAGCTCTTCTAGACTCATAAAGGACCACCCTTGAGTCTAAATGCGGAAATCAGAGCCCACAACCAATACCAATACCAATTTTCGTAGTGTATAGTATTCTACTAGTCAAGCCCTTTCATGTGATACCCCTGCCATTTTGTGGCAGTGGCCATCTTGAACCGATTTTCATCAAAAATAGCTAATTACACTCCCGAATTCTGAACCTCTCATACAAAAAAAAAAACAAAATCAAAATTGGTTCATCCTTTTTGGAGCTATGATGCTCATACAGACACATCAAACTTAAAAACATCAGCTACCAAAACTTCAAGTTTCTAACCCCAGCTGTTTAGCCTCTGTGTTGATTAATCAGTCAGTCACAGCAAGTAATTTTATATATATAGATACGAATTAATAATAGATAACAATATAAACTTCCAATACACACCTCCAAATATTTCTTAATGACTTGATCAATTTCTCTAGTGACTGCTGATTGTATTGTTTGGCGCAACATGTCTAGTGACTTGTTAGCACTAGCTCTGAACTCTGCTATAGGCCTTGAATGTGGCTGTACTGGTCCTGGGAGACTGAACCTTCTGTGCATAGCAGCAAGGGTGTTTATAGCTATCTGTCTAGTAATTGGTTGTTTCTGAAAAAATAAACATTTTAAAATAAGATTGAATAGACACACAGCATATTTCCTTCTAAAAATAGTGATTAATGGGAAGAATAGTAACATGCAAATCATGGAACCGTGTATTGCCTATACCCAAAGGGCACAAACAGTATGATAAAAGCATTTAAAAAAAAGCTTTATTAAATACTGGGAACTTTAAAGAAAAAACTACAAGTGATTTGTTTAATCAAACTCGTTTCAACACTTTCTTATCCTGACTTTAAAAACAAAACAAAATATTAAATAGTAATTTCATTTATTTACAAATGTGGATGATACAATGATTACTCTTTATTATTTTGGAAAGTTCCGAACTAGCTAAGTTATTCAGGGTCCAATTCAGATTAATGACGATTTTATTACCGTCTGCATGGTGGAAATTATGCTGGGCCGTACGCTTGTAGCTTTGGAAGGAGGCTGAAAGCTCCACGAACTAGTAGAACTTTCGGAAACTGGGCTCTGCTGCGACGCATTTATGTTATTCCAATTCCTTTGCACCACCATTTCTAAACAATCTCATTCACAAATTAACTGCAAATTACATGTTACAAAACAACAACTTCATTTACGATTTGATCACGGGATTACGACATTGGGTCGATCCTTGTAATTAAAACTTCCAACTCCAATATGTGCTAGGTTGTACTATATTTTTTTGTTTCTAATAGGATTTATCGCATCTTATTTCTTTTTAGTTGTAATGAGAAATACAGCAAAATACGAGCTCGGACTTATATTTCGGGTAGAGTGAGGGGGGGGGGGGGGGGAAGGAGTTGACAGTTTAGTGTTGTCGTACGAGGACTTTGACTTGTCGAGTGTCGACAGTCGGTGAGTCTGAATAAATAATAATCTTTTGAATTTTATTTGCTAAATTAATTTGTCTGTATTAAATTTAGTTTTTCGAATATTTGAAAGAGTTCTGATTGTTTTGATCTTTTAAGTAAGTTTTTAAACCCAATATCAATTATCTTAGTAATAGCTTAATAAAAAATAAAGACAGTGCTTATAACTAAATTACAAATTTATTTTATCACAAAATAAATAGACAGTTAGTTATAATAACATCAAATGTGGAAAAGCACAATAGATATGATAACAATTGCAAAATAGAATGTTTTATGTAATTTTGCTGTGTGGTGACGGATTCATAATACAAATTGTCACCACCCCAATTCATCCCGTGGGTTTCGTAAGAGCCGACTAAGAAAGCAAACTAAGCAGGACAACAGCACTGCAAAGAGAAGGAAAACTTGAAACAAACCCTATACCAACCCGTCTGGCCAGCGTGGTATAGTAGGCCAAAACCTCCTTTCTAAGGAGAGGCCTATGTCCAGCAGTGGACTAGTATAGGCTGTTGATGATGTAATTTTATGCATAGAAGAGAGATAATTATTTTAGTATAAATAAAAACAGTCTCCAAACCTGAAAAAAATTACGTCAAAGATCTTGAACTTGCTTGTGACTCTGAGTTTTGAATGTTATGTTGACTTTGTAAATAAGTCTATACTTTAGAAACAGCTTTTTTTTTTAATAAACAAATTTCTTTGACTTTATTTCTGCAAGCCAAAAATATCAAGGTAATCACATGAGGATTTAATTAGTGAAAGCGTGACAAACAAACACATGTCGAATTTTATAAAATTAGTCAGAATAATGATTTCACAGGGAGATTTTACCAGAAAGAAACTGTTAAACATTGTTGCAACAAGTGTCAAGAATCTTTATATTCGATATCGATATTCAGTAAGATGTTTGTCCAATTGGAACTTATTTTAATTGAAATGAATAATTGCACCGTACTTTCAAATAAATTCTAGCATGTCTTTATAAAATAACCAGAAGGAAAGGGTGATATGCATTCATTACAAATTGTAATAAGCAGTAGATATGGAAATTATTGCTGCTTTTAAATCATATTCATTTGAAGTAATGATTGGTTTAGTCACAGCGATTTCAATAAATCATATGATTTAACACATTTAATTATGATTTTATATATTCTTAGGTCAATGGCACCTTCAAATGTATGCATACAAAATATTTTCAAAGGAAAGGTACCTATCTATCTATCTATCTATAACATCTAGTATATACATGACAAGTGACAAGTAAAGTTTAGTACCAAATAAAATAAATACATACCTAGTTAAATACTCTGATTTCTGATTGCGTTGGCTGTTGAGTTGAATCATTGATTTTGATTGGCCAGCGGCAGTCAGCCCACGTCAGACTTTAGTTTGGTTTGTAAAGTGGGTGCAGCAAGACGGGTCGCAATTAATATTTTAATATAAAATATTAATAGGTAAGATAACACAATTGTTTGATAATTATATCTAAGATTATTACGAATATATTTAAGTAGGTATTGTTTAAGTCTGTTGTAAAATGAATGCAATAAGAGAATCAAATAAAACCTCCGGTAAAGCCTTTTGGACTTTGCTCCTACTTAAGATTGCCACGATTCGATTTCTATACCTAGCTTAAAAAAAATGTACGCTACAAAAATGTACGCTGCTACAACTTTCAGATATTAGTTAGAGGTTAGGGACGGTGTGTATTTTTAGAACTAAATTTTCCAGTTTATCCACAAACTCACACACAATTACTTATGTAGAGGTCATTGAACTACAATTAATTACATGGTGAACAGGGTATCAATACTTCTTAATGTATGATTCAAATGTAAATAATAAAATACTGTATGTCACACTTTTAAAAAAAATCCTTTCACCTGGTAATTGAAATTGTAGGTATTTACTTTGTTCTTATTCACAACCCGATAATTGTGATGGCATTTACTTCGTTCTTATTCACACTAATTACGTATTGTCGTCACATTAAAGTCTGTTTCATTGCTGTACACAGGTCTTTTAAAATAATTACAAACAAAAAATGCTGGTTTATGCTACCATAGTTTTGTATAGATTTTAATTTTTTTTTTATTTTTTATTTCAGGAGTAAAGCCACCTACTGTAATTATTCAGTCTGCCCTTAATCTACACAAGGTTTGTGATTCTTAAATAAAACTTGATACCTTTATACTTATCTAGGATCTTTTTTCATGTGCATTTCAATTACTTATGTTCATAGAGGTACATTAACCATTGAGGTGTTAAACCAGAGCAAACCTTTAGTTGTCATTTACCAAGCTCACTAGGGTCTTATTAGAAACTATTTGCTTGTTATTCAAATGGGTCACAATTGAGGGAACTCAAAAAAGTGGAAACATAATTTATAAAGTTGGATGGTACTGAATTATTCAGGTATATTATGCCTGAATGTGTTTTAAGGAAATTGGGTATGCATCTTATATCTTATTGACTTCATAGTAATAATATTTGTAATTACTCTACCCTTTTCTGTTAGTTAAATGCCTAACTAACACACCAAACAGGTTGACTTGCAATTATAATGCTAATCTCATTATGTAATACTAGCTGTACCCAGCCACACTTTCCCTGTGGCACATTGTGGTTGTATGCCATCATCAATAAGCACTTTCAAATGTATGCATACAAAATATGTTAAATAGATAAAAACCAACTTTAAAGCGGCATGTATATTGTGTCTACATTTGATTTCCATCGAGGCAGAACTTTTTGAGTTTTTGAAGCATACACAAACCAACTTAGCATTTTTATATACATATATAGATAACACACTAAACAGGTGGACTTATAATGCTAATCTCATTATGTAATGCTTGCTGTACCCTACCACGCTTGCCTATGGCACATTGTGTTTGTAGGGATGATAAATGACGAACAAAACTAACACAAAAAATAGATAAAAACCATCTTTGAAGCGAATGTAAAATGTGTAAAAACTTGGGTTCAATCACTGCAGAACTTTGAGTTTTTGAATTAAATAATATATTATCAATATTAATGCTCAAACATGCACAGTGTCAGTGCTATGCTAGGAAATGCTATTTTCTTAAAAAAATATCTACTAACACACCCAATCTTGTTTTACCTGCCAATTCTTTAATTGCCATATATTACTTTCTTACATTCTCAAGTTGTCTTTTGTTACATTTTCAAGGTATCTTTGTTCGTTTTAGGTTGCTGTATATTTATAGTTTATTATTATAACATAATTTACTCAATAATTAATCACTGATTGTACAACTGATTGTAAAATTATATAAGATTTATTATCTATATAAATAATATAGATAGGTATAGAATGTAATTACTTGATACATTGTGAGAATCTGGGAATCACAATCTTCAATGCAGAAAGTAACTAAAATATGTATAAATCTGAGTTTCTCATATTACATCATAAAATAATCTTGACCGAATCTGATATCTTAGGATAATTGTCTCTTTTAGTAATGATTATTTAATAATGAAATGGTAAACTGTAACAGAAATAAAATTTATTTAATGAGAAAACAATATTATTCATGTTTTTGTTATTCAGTAACTGACAAATGAAACATTGATGATTAATGAACATGATCATTAAATATACCAAAACATGTTTACTCTTTTAGCATCTTAATATTATCTGGTTGGTTATGCCAATAATGTTCGTGTTTACATCACTTATATAACTGCATTGTTTATGCTTCAAGTTTTTTGGCAAGGAAACATTTTAACAGTGTTCTTTATTTTTATTGATATTTATGACATTACTCTGTTCATCATCATCATCATCATCATCATCAACAGCCTTTAATAGTCCACTGCTGGACATAGGCCTCTCCTAAGAAAGGAGGTTTTGGCCTACTATACCACGCTGGCCAGACGGGTTAGTATAGGGTTTGTGTCAAGTTTTCCTTTTCTCTGCAGTGCTGTTGTACTGCGTAGTTTTTTCCCTTAGTCGTCTCTTACGACACCCACGGGATGAATAGGGGTGGTGACACTCTGTATTCTTAATCCGTCACCACACGGATTACACTGTTAGCCCTTATCAAACTTGTAAAGATTTTTTTAAATAAATTAAATTATTTATTTCTTTTAAAAAAGTAATCTTGAGCATTAGGAAATTTATTAATTTAGTTGCAGCGGACTTAGAAGTTATTATGTGTATCCTATGTATTTTTAGACAAAGAAACAACTGCCACTTTAAGACAAATATTTGTCCCATGTAGAAATCAAATCAACAACTCTCGATGTTAGATGTCAAAAATTACCTCTTCGTCTACCCTTTATTCTTTCTATCTACATTTAATCTTTGAACTTCATTTCAAGGTCATGCGCTTAAATTTTTAACATTTCTTTTACATTAGAATTAAGGTCACGTCACGAAATACAAGCAATGATGTAATGTTTACATAAAATAAATGAGTGGCTAGCAACAATTTACCTTTTGGTATATTGTTAGTACTTTGAAAACATTTTCCTTTCGAAACTTTTTATAAGTAGTGCTTTTTAGAGTTTATATGTTGTTAGATCATTTTTTATATCACGCCATCTTTTCTTTTCAGATTTCAAAAATGCCGAAAATCAAGGCCGGACCCGTTGTTGATGTCTTGGGTGATGAGATGACCAGGGTTATCTGGGACCTCATTAAGAAAAAGCTTATATTGCCTTTCTTGGATATAGAGCTGCATGTGTATGACTTGGGTATGGAAAACAGAGATAAGACCGATGATCAAGTAACAATCGACTGTGCCGAAGCTATCAAGAAATACAACGTCGGTATAAAATGCGCTACTATTACGCCTGATGAGAAGAGAGTTGAAGAATTTAAGCTCAAGAAGATGTGGAAGAGTCCTAATGGGACAATTCGTAACATTCTTGGAGGTACAGTATTCAGGGAAGCTATTATCTGCAAGAATATTCCCCGTCTTGTAACTGGCTGGGACAAGCCTATTATTATTGGTCGTCATGCTCACGCTGATCAATATAAAGCAACTGACTTTGTTGTACCTGGTGCTGGCACACTTGAACTCATTTTCAAGCCCGCCTCAGGAGACCCTGTTATCAAACATGTTGTTAATGAGTACAAAGGCCCCGGAGTCGCTATTGGCATGTTCAACACTGATGCATCTATCATTGACTTCGCACATTCGTCGTTCAAGTACGCTCTTGACAGGAAGTATCCCCTCTACCTCAGTACCAAGAATACTATTCTTAAGAAATACGATGGCCGATTCAAGGACATTTTCGAAGAAATTTATGAAAAAGAATACAAAACTCAGTTTGAAGCTAGTGGTATTTGGTATGAACACAGGTTGATTGATGATATGGTAGCCTATGCTATGAAATCTGAAGGTGGTTTTGTCTGGGCGTGCAAAAACTACGATGGAGATGTGCAGTCCGATTCCGTTGCTCAAGGGTATGGTTCTTTGGGTCTAATGACGTCAGTACTTCTATGCCCTGATGGCAAGACTGTTGAGGCGGAAGCCGCTCATGGTACAGTAACCAGGCATTACAGATTCTACCAGCAAGGTAAGGAAACATCTACCAATCCAATCGCCTCTATCTTTGCCTGGACCAGAGGACTCCTCCATCGTGCTAAGTTGGACAACAACGCTGAACTGAAACACTTTGCAGATACTTTGGAAAAGGTTTGCATTGAAACTATTGAATCTGGAACAATGACTAAGGATCTTGCTATTTGTATTAAGGGTATGAAAAACGTAACAAAGGCTGACTACTGCGAAACGTTCGAGTTTATGGACAAGCTCGCTCAGAACTTGCGGCTTAGTTTGAATGCCAGCTCACAATCAAGTAACTTGTAAAGTACACAATGTATTTTGTAAAAGATCATCACATGGTGGCCAAGGTATTTCATTAAAGTTTTCCATGTAACTATTATTCTAATTTATTATTGTAATAAATGCATTTTGGAAGTATTGTCTTCACTTTAAATTTAGAACCTTGATCTTTAAGGTCACTCATAATAATTTCAAATGAGGAATTAAAACAATGAGCATTTCTTTAAATTAGAAGCAACACTGTATAGCATTATAGAGCAAAATAAGTTATTAGAGATATTTTTCTAAATGTATTATTATCACTGAGTGAGGAGTAAAAGAACAATAAATCCAGTTAAATAAAAGCCTATTTATTAAGAAAATTTATAATCTATATTCTAAAATCTATACTCTAAATTTATATTCGCAAATAAATAACATACTCGTAGTTCTACACGAATTTTGACTATGATTAGAGAATTTCTAAAACTTAAAATTGAAACGCCCATAGCTTTCTAATGAATAGCTTTTTTTTTTAAATGTCAAAGACATGCACTAATAGTATTTAAAGCTAGTTCCCCATTTTCATGGACACCAAGTCTACAAAAATATGACTCGGAAAAAAAGAAACTCCAAAAATAACCTCGATGTGTTTCAGTAATTGCAATCTTTTTAGAAATAAAGTTTAATTACTTTGAGAGGCATTTCATGTTAACTCACCCTGAGAAGTAAGTTTCATATGGTATTTCACTTAACTCTCTAACTAGTGATGTGCCGGATATCCGTATCCGCGGATATCCAAGGGAGAAGAGAGATCCGTAACCGTATCCGTATCCGTGACTTTTTTGGCGGATCTTTCAATACGATGAAATTCTATATAGGTGATTTTGTATTCACTAAAACTCTTAGGTATGTGTTTGTAACACTATAAACAGCAACTTTTTTCTGGCCAAAGTCAAAATGAAAAAAAATTGGTCCTCCATTCAAATGACCAATCAAATGTTGTTAGTTTGTATGGAGAAACATTTTTTTTCTTTCGTTTTCGGTGTTAGTCCAGAAGAAAAGTTGTTGTTTATAATGTTACTAATATGCACTTTAGAGGTTTTCAGTAAATTTAAAATAACCCTGAATAATGGTTATTAGGTAGCTATGAAAAACTATTGAATTCTGTTCAGATTACTTTTTATTTCTTAATACAAATATTTGGCACCTTTGTATTGCAATCATTTATCGTACTACACTAAATCAACTGAAAGAGCTATCTTTATAATGAGATCAATCAGACATCTTTGTATTAGCTTATTAAAATAATGAAATATTTAAATATCAACGGCAAAGCGTCAAGTGGCGACAACAATCAAGGTCACGGGCTCCCATTGAGTAAGAAACTTAAGATCCGTATCCGCGGATCTTGACATCAAATATCCGTATTCGGATCCGTATCCGCGGATATACTTTGTTAACGATCCGGCACATCCCTACTCCTAACCATGGTATGGCATGGTAGGTGTAGTAGATGTACCATCTGGCGGCGGTGAAATCGTCTCCAAGATTTGTGACCAGTTTGTATCAAAAGTCTTGCAATGATCCCAATCACCTCTTTCAGCTTCAGGTAGATACATAGATTTCTTCCGTAATGATAATTACCACCGTTTTTTTTCATTATCATTATCTACCGCTATGTGTTTTCATAATCGAACTTTAATACTAGCTGCAACTTGTCGCCATCGTTCCACACTGCAAAAGTTTCATCCTCATTACCTGGATGGTTGGCACTCCACTACTGTGCGCTTTTCGAGACACTTTTTGACCCGCACAACCAATCTTTGGAACGGGTCATCGTCTGTGGTATTTCCGGACCGATACGACCTTCAAAAGAGCGTACTCCTTCCTAAAAGGTTTGTGACTCCTAAGTTGCAGACGTTCATGGGCAGCGATGGCCACTTTCCACCAGTGACCCGTCTGCTCGTCTGCCCCCTCTAACATAAAAAAATAATTATTTCGAACATAAGTCATGCATCATGAACGAACGCGTTGTTCTACTTGACGGGGACACTTCCGTGCCCCTAGATACGAATTAATTAGCTTAGGAGTTATTATTTTACCACGTTAATCGTCATATATGCGGGCGGAGCAGCGAGCAGAAGCTAGTAAATAGTACTAGAAAAAAATTCTAATCTGCCATAAAAACATTTATTGTCTTGTTTAACATATTTCTCTTGAGAAAAACAATGATGGCAAATAAAAACGTCTTTGAATTAAACCAGTTCCAGCCTTACAGCACAGCCGCGCACATACGCGCATATGGCATTGATATAAATTACACTAGATTAGTAATTACCGCTCAAAAGCGTTGCCACTGCACATCTGTCCACAGCATTTTCATCACGTGACAATAACATCGCCAAAATGGGAAAATGCGAATTACTTTTCACACGTGAGTTGATGGTTTATGTATTGAAAATAACGTAAATAAGGGTAAAATTGAATAAAAAAATTAATCATTGTAATTTAGATGCAGTGTTACTAATGGTTAACATCGTTTTGGTTTTCCCACATCAGTAGGAGAATTTGTAATTTATGAAATAATATGCTTAGTAGGTACTGTTTTTAAATATTTTGGCAATAATAATAAAATATAGTAAGAATGGACCAGAAGGTTAGTTGATAGGGCTGGACCGATCTTCGTTTTTAGGCACCGGGTTAACTTTCACTTCCTTCAAAGCTTCAAGAGAAATAATTCATTGTATTTTCTTAATTAATTGTCAATTTTATAATAATAAATTTACAGGATATAACCATTGTAACAAAAAAAAACTAGTTATTCTATTATTTATACCTATTCCATTCGTTTAGTTTTTTTTTATATATATTTAAATTAATTTATTTTATTACAAAATTGTTTTAAAGACTCTTTTTATTCCGGTTGTTATGGGTAAAATTTCATACAGTAGTGAATACTGGCCTGCCATCGTAAAGTCACGGTACAATTATAATATTATAATTTATACCGTGGTAAAGTTGTGTCTTTGTCTTTGTCTAATCCTAGCGATGGTATTGTTCTTGTAACGCTTATAAATGAGACATAAATATGATTACTTTCAAATCTTTAGTGTTTTCAAAGCTACGTCGTCACAGTTCACTAGTGGTTAAACTTTTTTCGACGTTTCTTAATGAGGTTTGCTTCTTAACTTGATGTTTTAGGGCAAGAGATGTGTGTTTGTTTTTAATCGAAGAAGTTTGTGCAAATAAATGTTTTTTTGTATTTTTCTATCACCTATCCCTTGATTGGAGTGCAAACGAATGAGGTAGCATATGTTTACCACAAACGGAATTGCGGTATTTCTGCAACACAATTGTGTTACCGACGTTATTAAAAAATATCTCAACTGTACCAATATCAATAATTTGTGGCAGGCTGTAATTGCCGTGCTTCAAAGTAGCTTTAGATCTCTCACTTCGATAAGATCTATACCTACCTACCTTACCTTTTTTTTGCTTTTCGCACCATACCCTCCGTTGGGGAAATGCAGGGCGTGTGTGGGACTCCCGGAGAACCGGTCTACCCACTATACCCCGCGTCGGCCTACCTCGGCATGGACGGCATGCTGTAATGTACTTGAGAAGTTCTAACATGGACTATAAGGTGATTGATCTGAGCAAGTCGTGATTACCTAATTTGTTTAAATTTGCAGCATTAGCAGTGCTTGGTAGAAGTTTCCAGTATGAGTTATGGACAATCAAATAACCTCTAAACTAGGTATCAAAGGGTTCAAACAATGTCCCAACATTATGTTCGGTACTTAATTTTATCGATTTTTATTCGATATTTGTTTTATTATCTTTTATATTATATATCGAAATTTATATTATTCGATTTTATCTAATTACTGCATTAATAGAACCGAACTATTTTCAATCTCAAGTTCATCCCTATTACATTAAAGGGACAAATATTATGTACAGAACGATCATCAGATCTAAGAGAGAACTCAGAGAACGGATGAGAGAAGAACACCCAAATACTCCGAAATATTTTATACCGAATTTCGATGTTCCGATTTTAAAGTTCGAATTTCATAATACCTAAGAATTATAATGTCGTAAATGCGATTTCTTTGTTTTTGGATTTTTATACGTTCGAAGAATCAAATGTTCGATGGGTTTTCGGTCCGAAAAAACGAAATTCCGATTTTCAATACTTCGAATTAGTTTGCCTAAATTATAAATCTAATTCTGATTCAGTTAGTATAATATTCAGTTACACATAGATATATATAAAAAAAATATAAGTAACTGTTAATGTAATTTAAAAATGTCTACTTTTCTACTTTTTTTTTTGTGTTTTTCTTCTTCTTATACCTGCGTCGCGGATTATCTACTGTTATTGAATTCTTTGGGTTAGGTTAGGTTAGAGCTGTGACTAGAGGAGCGTGCCGTCGTGTACGAGGACCGAGAAGGTAATTCGAGGTGTCGGCCCATGTCGTGCGGTGTTCCACAGGGGTCTGTTCTTGGACCCCTCTTGTGGAACATAGGGTACGACTGGGCCCTTCGAGCCGATTTCCCTCCCGGGCTGGGTGTAATTTGTTACGCAGATGATACTCTGGTGACAGCCCGGGGGGCGAACTTCAAGGGGAGTCTCCCTGGTGGTCGGGCGCATTGAGGCGCTGGGCTTACGGGTGGCCCTAGATAAGACGGAGGCTCTCTTATTTCATGGGCCCCGTCGTGGTCCACCCCCTGGCGCCTCAATCGTGATCAACTCGGTCCTCGTACCGGTTCGGGCCCAGATGAAATATCTGGGCCTGATCCTCGACGGGAGGTGGCTCTTCGACGAGCACTTCCGACAGCTTGCTCCAAAGCTGGTCGGCGCTGCGTCTGCCCTAGGGCGACTTTTGCCCAATTTGGGTGGACCCAGCGTCGCGACAAGACGGCTGTACACGGGGGGTTGTCCGGTCAATGGCACTATACGGTGCACCGGTGTGGGCGGCGGCTCTGACCGCCCAGAATAGGGCACGCCTCTGGCGCCCTCAGAGGGTATTGGCGGT